GGTTCAGGTGTGGGAGTTGCCTCCATGGAGTCGGTACCATTGGTCCCCAGAACGAAAAACAAGATCTACGGAAAACAAAGCAAGGGCAAAAACCGTTAGATTTGTTTCTTTAGGTGAGAAAACCATTATCTGAATGTTTCACCGCATTTGGTCATAAGATGAACTGGCGCTTTTTATTTTAATTTTGAATGGAGAATTTGGATTTAAAATAAATGAAACAAAAACCCTTTCTTATCATAATAAGGACCATTTTATTTTATCAACATAAACAACGTCAAGTTTTCAATTTGCTAAAATGCCTTAAAAAAGTTATTGAAAAAAAAAGTGTTCCACATAAATGAAGAAATCTCAAAAACAACAAAGCTCAAACCAGTATGTTTCTTCACAAAAGTTATTGATTTAATGCATTTGAATAAGAGAAAAATATAAAATTATATGGTTGTAAGCAAAAAAAACTAAAACAGAAAGAAAAAACATATTTTCGACATTTTTTTTACTCTATATGAGTCGGAACCAGTAGACTGTGAAAATTTTTTGCCTTGCAAAGAGTTGTTTATTTTGTCAAGATAAACAACTTTGCCGAAGACATCAAGTCTTCAAAACGTCAGAGAAAGAAGTTAGATTGTGGCGCTATCTTTACGGAAGAGTTTTTAACTATGTGTTTATGTCAATAGATGGTCTTATTATGATGAGAAACTTTGCCGAAGACACCAAGTCGCGGAAATGCTGCGGAGTTATTAATGTTGCTCCGCTAGATTGCATTCATGGCCCAGTGTGCAATGATTTCACCGTGCACAAATCAATACTACGTTTGTTTCGATGCGTTAGCTCATAAGCTACAAAACAATGCCTATAATAAGCTACAAAACAAAGCCTATACTATACACTCATTGATCATTGATCATTTTATCTGCCTGCATTCGTAGAACGAAGAAAAACCTAGAATAACCAATGGCGTTAGAACGAAATTGAAACTCATAGAACGAATTTGGAATCAAGAAGCAGTGTTAGATTTCGCCCAATATCTCAAACTCTTTATCAAATCCAACGGTACGTATAGAAAGGTAAATAAATTTGGAAGTCATCTTTAGTAGAATCAGTCCATTTTTAGGTTCATAACCGTTCGAAAAAGAGAGATTTAATGCGGATTTTGCTTAGTAGAACGGAAATTAGATCAATAACCCTATTACATAATTTTCTTTCATTATTTAATCTGTTTTTGGTTCGTGATAGAACATCATCTTATGAAAATGACTTTTTCTGAAAATCAAGTGCTCTAAAGATCAATATTCCTTACATTTATCGTGAAAATTCAACGAAAGAATTGTTCAATCTGATTTTAATACCTCTAAGAAATTATTTATTCTCAGAATATCGGTAATTTAAGAACTTTCTGAACGATCATTTTTAAGACTAGTAAATAAATAAATAAGATTCGTCAAAGATTCATTAAGACCAACAGTACGACATTCATATAGTGATAAACTATAATGTATGCACAATGATACAATTCACCATTTTTTTAGTTGAATTCAAATTGAGCTGTCATTCGCTGTTCATCACTCCAGTGCCTCTAAATCAACCCTTATTATATGAGCCATCAAAGTATGTATCACTTTTCATGGTGATCCATCCATCTGTGCTACAATTAGCACCGTAAAACTTTTCGAATCGCACCTAGGTTCAGTGGCACAAAAGTGTCTCGTTTTCACATAACTTTGACTCATGACGACAAAAATTATACATACACACTCGAAAAAAATATGTATACGAAGAAGCAACCCGAGAAGACTTAGAAAAACATTTACACGGCAATAAATCGTTAAATCAAACATGATTTTTTTGTCAGTGTTGTTTAACGTTTTATACTTTTATAGCACCATTTTCTGTTGCTTCCCCTCACATTGTGCCTGTCTGCCGCTCTGCCCAACCAGAAGGGGACCTCTGAGGTCCGTGTGAGTGCAAAGAGGTCTTTCCCATGAGCTGTTGGCTGCTGAAAGGTAACATTGTTAATTGTGCGGGAAATTAGTAGAGTAAACACCAAACAACAGTGACGTGCGACTCCGCATGCAAACAAAGGTGGTAGGAAAAATTAATGAAAATACGACCAACGAGTAAACATATTTTTATTCTCTTATTAGAGTCGTCATTAAACTTCTTCAGTAGCTCGCGTTCGGAAGGAAATGACATGAGCGGATTATTGGAGCAATTTGAGACCGATAATTAAATTATCACTTTATTACAAGCGGCAAACGAATGAGGTGCGAGTCAGAGTAATCATTCTTCCCGAATTGGACCCCCAAAGTAAACGAAACACTCTTCCTTTCACTCGTCGACCCGGGAATGACTGGGTGATGTTTTGGCTTGGTGAATGGGTCTTTAAACACCTTTACAGCTCCATCTCGGCTCGGCCATAGCAGCTCGTTTGAGGATTTTATTGGTTTTTGAAAGCCTGGCGCGAAAAAAAAAACGAACACTCAAAGAACAATAAACCAAGGCCACCGCGAGGACAGTCTAGCCTAGGTGAAAGTGCTCTTGTGGTGGGTCTTGGATTTGCGGTTTTTGTTGTTTGATTTGCAGGGCATTTGCTTGGTTATGTACTTTGTATTTTAAAATAGGATACGTGGATGATTTTGGGTTTTTGACAAATCTGAAAATATCCCATCAACGGTGTCTTCTTTTGCTCCAAAATGGGATTTTTGTTTGTTTGCTGGTGTTCCTGCATTCTTGGGATCCTCCTCCGCAAAACACACAGAGGGCCACAAATCATCCTCGCCTGTTGGAAAGGTAGGCCTGTGAGAATATTGAAGGAATGCAAGCAAACCCAATCCTCGCGTCTCGCCGAATACTGTCTGTGTGTGTGCTTTATTTTTTATGGGACGATTATTTTATGATTATTGCATTAATTACAGCGACCATAAATTATAATCACCGGAGGCCCACTGCTTGCTTCCCCACACTGACGGACGTCTGGTTGACGTGAATGTGACGAAAAATTAAAAAGTATCAGCATCAATTCGATGTGCGGGCGATTTATTGAGGGAGTTTCCTAGCGCCTAATGCATAATGCTTTGGGAGGAAAATAGTTTTGCCTATGTGGCGAGTGGCAACTGAAGGTGGTGAGCTCGAATGATGCGTCGATATATGTCTAGGCATGGCAGGTCTTGGAGATTCTGAGGCAGTGTTAGTTCGGATCCCGATCGAAAGATGGCCTTTGTGGGGAGCACAACTTCTCGCGCTTTTCCACAATGAACACAATGTAATGAAGGAATTGGTTGATACCGTGTAAACGCTATACTGTACACGCTGTAAAGGCCGCGGATCGCGGTTTCGTATATGTACACGGAAAGGAGAAAACTGAGAGAGCGCACGCGTACACCACGGCCAGCAGGCACCAGGCAGCAAAGTTCCTCTCGCGAGCTCGGTGGGTTGAATGGTGCTCTCTTGTGGCGGCCGCCTGTTATGCTCATGCTGTTTGTACTACGCCATATGCATACCCATTTCGAGGAGCAGGATGGCAGTGTGAGCATAAAGAAAAGCACAACTAGGGATATGCGATCCATGAGAGAGCAGTGTGTACAAGCATAGTTATACAGTGTTTTCTTCTTTATTGGGCTCTCTCGTTGTGTGTTACCCCTCTTGATCACTATCCCCTTGCCATACCTTGGGCCGCCCGTTCGAAAGTCCACCCGTGTACAATGCGCGACGTGTGTGCACAGAGAACAGACACCAAGAGACGGATCGACTGTTGTTCAACATTCTAAGATTTGTTTTCAGTGTAAGGCCGAACCTCTCCAAGTTAAGACACACTACCGAGACATCTCAGCGGGTCTTTTCGCGCTCACGTGAGATAGTGTGGATTGTCGTGGTGCATAATCTGTATAAGCTTTAGAGTGTACAGCGCGCACACAGTGTTTAGAGTGTCCGGTGTGTCGATCCCGGAGTCAGAGCGCGCGGTACGTCGTGAAGGATTTCTGACATTAGTTTATCGTAAGAGCGTGAGGGAAAACGTCGTGGTCTCTGCCACTCGTCTTGGCCGTGTCTTCGTCGTCGTCATCGTCGTCGTCGTTGCCGTCTTTGCCGATTTCGGTTTCGATTGCATTTTACGAATACTCCGCTCTTTTTCAATCCAACTGTTTGGGGAAGCACGAAACAAGCAAGAAGCAGATATTTGCTGTTTATTTTCTGAACAACGTTAAATCGCTGGCGATTGCTCAAGCGAACCAATGCAAGTGCAAGTGATTTTATTTTTAACCACAATAGTGATTTTTTAAAATTGCGAAAAATATATATATATCAAGTGGTCTAGAAGCAAACAAAAAAAAAAAATAAAAGGGATGAAAAGTTGAATTATGACAAGTGCAATATAAACGAGAAACTTGAATCTGTACAGTTTTGAATGTGACCGAAGAGTTGCCAAGAACAGGTTGAAATTTTTGTCTCATTTTCTTCTTTCCGTCACCAACAACCGGGTTTGGCGCAAACGAATGATCAACCTGTCGTATCAACGTCATCATCATCGACATCGGCGTGCCACTGCATACTGTGAATCATCGTGTCATAAAATGATAACAATAAAAATAAAATAAAATCATTAAAATCTATGGTTGATGTGTGGAACAAATATAAAACATCAACAACAACTGTGTTTTGTATACAACGGTGCTTAATGCTGATCAATTGATTTATGATTACCGTATTAAAATTATACAAATTGTGATCGTTGTGATTTGTGAACCCGAACTTGAACTTGGTTAATTGTGTGTTGTCCTCGGTGGCAATAAAACGCACAATAATCGAACAAAATCCAAAAAAATAAACTGCTGCGTCATCCGTTCGTAACGCGAATCGGAACGGAACGAATCCCACCCGGGATTGATATTTCTTTTGTGACGGTTTTAAAAAATCTGCAAAAATTACGATCACTTTGCTAAACCATCCACATCACACCTCTGACCTGGCGTGCGCAATATATCACGATCCCCACGATGTCACGGCAGGGTCGCACGCTGCTGCCGGGGCCTGGTGGGGGCAACACTCCCATTCAGTGCATACGGCCGGTGCTGCCATGTACGAGGACCCCACCGGTGGCCAGACAGGAGTCGGCGGTCGGAGTCCACCGTCCCTACAGAATACATCCCATAGTACAAACCATATCGTACAACAACAGCAGCAGCAAGCCCAACAACAGGCCGCAGCACAGCAGGCACAGCAACAACAGCAAGCACAACAACAGCAGGCTCCACCTCAGGTGCCAGCGCAAGTCACTTCACAACAGCCTAATTCCTCCAGCACTGGTCAGCAAAATAGCTCGGTCGTGTCCTCCCAGACTCAGATCGTGGCACCTTCAACGGCTAGTGAATCACCTGCCAGTGTGAGCTCCCAACCTTCAGGTAATGACTATCAATAATTTCACCTGAGTTTGCTATGGCTTTGTCTCTCTATACCTTTCCCGCTTACTAAATTTTGGAATTTTTCAAATCAACTGACGAATCCCCTGTCCTAACGATCCTTGTGCTAACCACACGTTCACTCCCTCCCCGGTGTGTCGAATTAACCCAGCCTGTGTTTAATGTTTTGTTTTGTCACTTCTTCTACTTCTTATTCCACCAAATCGACAAATCTTTTTAATTATCCAATTTTAAACCCGCCAATCCCCTCGTTATACGACATTAACATTAGGCCCTATTCATATACCAGCAAAACGTCCAGCGTTCGAGACCGATTCGTCCCGCCTGAGGCACTCGTATCCGTGGGGCTACGACTCAGGGGCCGACTCAGCCTACCATCCGCAGTATCCGTACGGACTCGGGGCGGACATCAAACCAATGTACTACCCGGGCTATCCGACCGATGCCAACTTTCAGCCAGTGAGTGTATTTTTTTTTTATATTTCTTCGGGCAGACTTTGCCGGATATGGCCCTATTGTATTCCCTTGGCACGTTTTATTTGGCAGACTGATTGACCTATCGGTCCTTGAGAATGTTCAAGGACACTGTGGTCCACTTAATGGGAACGGTAGAAGTCAGTGGAAAGAGATACAGTTCATTAGCATCAAATGGTTGAAAACTGTTCGAAGCCCAATCAGTGCGGCACGAGTATCGATTATATTATGCATATTCATATGTTGTGGGGCAATCGTCCGTAAACGTGACCGATGCCTCAGTATTGAGTTATTAAGGTTGAGTTTTTGTTAATTTTTGAATATTTAAACAACAAAACTCTAGGCATTGCTTAGCTATTGGTCCTTGTTTGCTGATTTTATTTTTTTCCAGTTCATTTATTTGGAAGGCTCAATCGCGTTAACTTTACGGAGCCGATATGTAATCGATTGTAGATTAACTAGAATAACTTAATACTACGTCAAGTAGGGGTGAGCCAATTACTCGAGATTGGTTTACTGATTTCTTTTAATTTAATTTTTATGAATATGGTTAACTTTAACAAGTTTGTGCAGTTTGGTTAGTTATACATGCATTTTTAATTTTTTTTAAACTGATTTGAAGTACAATTTTTTTTGTTAAGGTGATCCTGAATATGAAATATTAAAGAAAGAGTAAAGAGACATTTTTGTTAGGAGTTTTTAATTTTTGTATAGTTTTGCCGAAAAATTTAATAAATAATTCTGAAGGCTTGAGTCTTTCATGTTTTAGATCTGCAACCATGATGGTTTTTGCAGAACGATATTTTACTTACACTGCTTTAATTTCGTATTGTATTGAGATGTGGTGGTGCCACTTAATTTGCCTTATTTTTTTCTTCTTATGGGAAACTGCTGAGGAAGCCTTAGGTGAAACTTCAATAGAAAAAATGTCAGCTTCTACAGAACATACAAAAATGAAATTGCTCTATATTTGTTTTAGTGTAGCAAGCTAGGAGTAGCAATTTCATACCTGTAGGTTTTGTAAGAAATGTCATTAGAGTTTCACCATTAAAATAAGTATATACCTTGTTGTAACAGTACAATTTGAATGTATGGTTACAAATACTCATTTCAGATAGAACAATATTTTTCGGAATTATGAAAACATTAGATGCGTTGATAATATTTTTTATTTGTAAGATACACGAAGGGACTTTTGTGACTCCTAGAAAGCAAAATTGAAAGGTTTTTGTGACAAACACATACTATGCAACCTCTTCTTGTATCTTACCAATAAAAAATATGATCAAAAGGAATAAGTTTTTCTTGAAATCATGTTTTATACGAAATGAGCATAAGCAACCTTATTTGAAAGAATAGGAGAGAAGGGAGTAGAAAATGTTTATTTGGATTTGTTGTTAGTGCGAGTATGGATATATTGTTTTTTTTTTACGGATTTTGATAGGGAAATTTATTGTTTTATTTTTAATTTATTCTTAGTTTATTCTTATTTTATTCTTAATTTTGTAGTTCATATGAGCCCATCAGAATATTAAAATGTGTGCATTACATTATCAAAACATATTCAGAACAGTAGTCAATAAATTAAAAAAAAAAAACAAAACATTCAACTTTGTTTATCAATTATATGTTGTTGCACTTAAAATTTATAGTAAATTTGTTCCGTTTAGACATTTTGGATACACATTCACAGATTCATTAAAATGCCAGAAATTTTCAATTTCTAAAATTTAGTAAATCAGCAGTATGCCTATTTTATCATTCCCATTTTTTTTAATCTTTCTTTGATTTATATAAGTAATAATAAAAATATTCGGGTCAGTAGTCAATAAATTATCTTAAAACATTAATCAATTATGTGTTTTTACACCTGGAATTAATAATTGATAAGTTTTCCAATTGATAATACATAAAATATTAGTCGAAAAAAAAAATGCAATTTCCTGATTTCCATTTCGAAATTTTAGACAAAAATTTTACAATTGATTTATAACTAATTAAAATGTCCAGAAATTTTAAGTTGCTCAAATTTAGTTTTATAGTTTTATATTTTATCATCCACTAACATTTTTATTTTTTATTTGCTGTTGCCGAAGTCCCTAAGTAACGATATCGTTGATTGTGGCCGACTAAATTAGCCGCCTTCACATAATTATAAAGCAGCCTTTCTAATTACTGGGGCTGACGTTAACCATTTCGAATCGTTTGGAAAATATGTTTGGAATGAAATCCTATGATTTGAATTTTAACATTTATCAACTAAAGGATAAATTTCCAAAATTTTGACAGAACCGTTCAATTTTTTTTTCTACAAGGGAATACAATAGGCAGGTCGTCCCAAATACCAAAGGATTTTACTGTAACATGATTTTCATTTACTTCCCAAAACAGCATCACTACTACCCAAAGTATGAACCAGACGCCTACATTGCATCGTCCGAGCGAAGCCGGGCAGTGGCGGCGGATGCACCCTCGCTTCAATCCAGCTACGATACCTACAATTCCACCGGACTGCGGCCGTACTCCAGTGAAACATATCCTAATCCTGGTGAGTATCTCTTTCCACACAACTTTGTTAATGTACGATTGTTTCAAAGTCACTGACCTCCAGCAGTTTTTTTTTTCGGGTAAACTCGCGACAGCATTTCCGTGGAACCGCGAACAAGTCAGTAAAGCGGAAAAACGACCACCCCGGGAAGCCGCCAAAAGTTTTGGCCGTTTTTTTTCCGTTCCGTTCCCTCTCTTTGCGTCGCCTTCTCGCATTCGAAGCGCTGTTTATACTCGCCTTTTTACGGCTTAATGGGAAAATCGATCATCATAAACATAACCTCTCTATACGCTATGCTCGCGCAAGCGGCGTTGAAATTGGAGGAACTTTTTCGGCTATCTTTTGCTCAGCTGAGTCAGGTTTGGCGATCCGAGACGGGTTAGGGGTCACGAGGGATACATGTGCTGGGAGCAGGCGAGTAAAATAACCCAAAGCGGAAATGGAGAAGACATTTTTGGCGATCGTCGGGGAGAATGGAGCAAGCGGCTTCGCTGTTATTGCAATTTAAGTGAAGATGATACGAGTGTCGCCTAGGATTATGCATGTTGATTCTGTTATGTGCTAGCAAGTGGTATGTCGAAAGCTTGTGATAATTACCGTGCAAGGGGGTTTCCTTAATGACAATCGTGTGTCGTTAAAATAATTTTTATGATAATTTTATCAACGGGTTGCCCATGAACTACGTGTATGTTTTGAGAGATTTCAACCCTTGCTCCTTCCCGAAGCTGTCTACGCAGCTTATGGACAGCCGCGAAGTGGCTCGTCATAGACGACGAACAGATTTTCTCCCCATGAGAGGATAGCTTTTCGCGATTTCAAGCTGCCTCTCTTGAGTCAGGTGCAATTTTAATGAAGAGTGGGACAGTTTCGATTCCATTATTCATCGTCTGACCTCGGGACAGTCTTTTGCAGCAGTGCACGAGTTGGACGTCCGAGAAATCTCCCAGAAGACGAACGAATGGCTCGGGAGCAGAAGAATTTGTGGATTTCTTCGTTTCCAATTTAGCTTGTGCTTTCCCTCCTTGACTCGTATCGGTACACCATCAGAAGTGGTGCCGTGAATCGCGACGAGATGCTGTGGGTTTCGTCAACAGACGGTCGAGAGATGATGAGGAATTTTGAGAGCAGAAAAAGACCAAGGAAATCGTGCCTTGCGCAAAGGGAGCCAATTTTCTCGGTTCTCTTTAGTATTGTTTTCTGGGAACCGTTGCTTGAATGCAGAAGGCGGGGTAGGGTGATTGCTGGATAGATGAATATATTTTCCACCTTAGGTGAATGATGATGCGTCTCCACCGAACTCTCCGACTTTATATGGTTCACAATTTTAGTCCATTATCACCTTGGTCAGTAAATTCTCGGTGGATGTACTACCAACGAATGCCTTCAATTCTATTTATTGACTCTCTGCCGTCAGTTAGGTTTACATAGTACGTGCAACTGTTTTTGTTTACCTTGGTTAATGTAAACTTTAACACGCTTCAAAATGAATTATCTTCCGTTGATCTTGTTTTTGGAATCTCTATTCGGTCATTCTACATTTTCCATTCGCGTCTTGTAATCAATGGCTGGGTGAAGGGTGCAGGATTTCCTGTTTATTTGTTCAATGTTTTAACCACAAAGGGGCAGCACTAGCAGCAGAGGCTGGCTCCGGTTGGCGAATTCATTCCGATTGACTCAATGAACCTTCCAAAAATAATAAACTATAGCTCTTTGCCAGCCGACTTGCAGTTGGTGCATCTTACAAAAGTTGGTTTGTCTGCTTTGGGATCGAAAACATGGCAACAACACATCACAGTCAGTGGAAGCCTCGGTCATACATGTATCGCTTGGGAAATGAGGGTGTAAATATTTATAAATGTACGATGTAAGCAATATGAAATGTTAATTTAAACATGAACACAAGTGATCAGGCTGCTGGGGCAGTGTGCTGCTGTCTTTTGTATCCTGAGGGAAACGGTTTCAGTGTGACGGTAATATAGGTAATGGTTTAATTCGCGTGGCAGAAATATTGTTTGCGAACATTTGTTAGGTATCTATAGCTGATATACATAGTGGCTTATACATTCCGGAATAAATAAATAGAATATCGTACATTTTGTGGCAAGTAATCACTCTAGCCGGGCAGGGTTGGCATGCTCTATTCTTCGCACAAATTGTTCATTTGTTAATAGCTCTGCACTCACTTGATGACACATGTATTTTTTTAGGTAACTTATAGAAAAGAGTTTGAGGTTCCTATAGATACGTAAAATATAGCAGATTTATATTTAGACGAAAATCTGTGCTCAAATTTGCGTCACAAAAACGAAATGAGAAATACTTGCTGCTCATTTTAGACTTTCATTAAAAACAATGTTCATTGGTGTATATTCAAATGTTGTGATTTAACTACTCTATGCGTGTCTACTGATCATTCTCTTTACGTAGCTCAAAGTAAAACCAAGATTCATCAACTGAGTGAAATATTATTAACAAAAGAGCAATTTGTGAAAAAAAGGAAGCCATGCAGTATCTGATTTATTGCCCTATTTCCAATACAATTTCGATCTGATATCTAATTTATCCCGTTATTTCGTGCGCTATAATAACACTGCATAGTTGGGCTAACTTTAACGCGAACTTTTTCCTCAAATTGACCAAATCAGATCATCGCGGGAGATATAATTAAATTTCCTGGTGTAACTAATTTCCAAAAATGGATCGATTTCATTTCCCAAGTAACATTACAGGTTTTATCGAAGTTTTATAGCATTCTACACGTCTAAATCATGATCTACAGAACCCTCATAAAACCAAAATTGTTACTTGGGTTGTGTGTCATAGCTGGGCGTTTGACTAATTGTTACGCTTGTTATGTTGGGTTAGTTTGTCTCTATTAATACCTAAATTGGAATGAGTTCTAGAGACCTTACACAGCAAATAAAATGTGTGCTCTGGTCAGACGTAATGTATGCCAATGTTTTAAATATTGCTGTAATTGCATAACACTGATGCAATATTACATCGGTGGATAAACATGGTTAAACATGGTTCGCAAAAACTGGGTATATCGTAAACATCGTAATATTACATAACTAATTGATTAACCTGGGTGCAGCAGTTTCGATGTAATGTAAATCACTTTGTGTATGGTTTTTGCATCAACTAAACTGTGAGTATTACCTAAAAAAAAAAAAAATCAAAGAAGGTATTAAAATCCTACACTCCTGCACTTGTAGACACTTCTACTATTTAAGGGGGTAGTACACTTTGAACGTCCAAAAAGTAAGGCATTTTCGCTAATTTTTTTAAGCAATAAAACACTCAGGGAGGGCAAGTATGTTATAACCCATTTATTAGTCATCCTTCGAACTACAATTTGTATTTTTTTGAACTCGATTGGCATCTCCCCGTGGCCGGTTCACCAGGTCACGCGGAAGTCGGAAAACGGCGTGGGAAAATACTCCTTTCCATGTGATCCTGGAACATAAATCGAACAAAAATCCTGATTAGTAATGAAATTTGGGTTAGAAATACGTATTCCGATTGTTTTTAAATTAATTTTTTCAAAAGTTGTGGCTTAGGAAAAAAAAGTCCATTTTTTCACCCTAAAAATGCTTACAAAATCGTGGATTAAAAATCCATTTTTGACAAAATCGAAAATGTGGACAAGTATTTCTAAGCAGAATTTAATTCTAAACAAGAAAACCTAGGCGATATCCAAATTTGATGATAACTGGTTAGAGTTATTTCCCACGCCAGTTTGAAAAACCCCGTTTCGAGATAAACGCGTTTACAGATAAAATCTCTCTCTCAGCGCGTCGGTACATGTTTTAGGAAATCGCTTCGTAAAGCGGTAAGGAATATTCTGGCGGACTTGGAGTCTTTTCTAAATTAAAGTATCCATCCCAAGAAACATTTTAGGCCAAAAAAATGCATTTTTTTGAAAAATCAAAGTGTACTCCCCCCTTAAATCATCTAAATCAAGCCTGCTTAACCTTTCCAAAATTCTTTTTTGCAACTGCTGTATCCATGGCTCACTTTGTTTAATTAAAAAAAATGTAAGATAGTAGTTGTCTGTAAGGTTGTTGAATCAACTGTGAGAGAGACTCTAAAATTTGGGCAGCCATATCCTCCTACAATCTCCACATAACACCAAATTTTGATGCAACTGTTTCCAAAAATCTTAAAAAAAAACGAACTTATTTTCATCAGTTTGTTCGATCAATTTAACCCCAGTGATTAATTTACTCTCGCTTTACGATACCAATTTTTTCTTTGATTTATATCAAAGAAAAATTTGGTACCGTAAAGCGAGAGTAAATTAACCACTGGGGTTAAATTGATCGAACAAACTGCTGAAAATAAGTTCGTTTTTTTTTAAGATTTATTTTTGTAAGGTGATTCAAAAGCATGTTTTGCCAATATTTCTCAATAAGTTGTTTTAAAATCATTGATAACTCTACGTTATACATGTTCCCACATGTATAGTTGATAATAAACATTGTTTTCAAACATATGAATGATATTAATGATCTGTAATTACATCAACTCACATTCTGCAGACAAACCGTAAAAAAAAACATTCTGACTTGCTGCACTCGTTCAACATACACAAATTTCCATCACCAGCTACAGAAATTTTCTCGTTTTACTCACTGATTTTTTGTCAAGAAATACGAGATGCGAGCATTTTGATCCTGACACCTGACGCCCCTTCGGATTTCTCATAAATCAGAACGATTACGTGTAAGTTAATCTTTCTTGGTGCTGTTTCATTTGATCTTCTGTTCAGGTTAGTTTGAAGCTTAAATCTCAGTTTGGTGATACTTTGATCACACTTGTTCCCGGAATATGTACACTAAATTTGGGAAGGTTAGATCCTCAAAAATGTGAACACACCTGATTCCGGGATGGTTGTGAAAATGTCATCAAAAAGGAATCAAGTCACCTTCAATTTGATTTTCGGAAAATCAGCCAAACCTGACTGAATGTCTCTCTAATAAAGAAAACTAACTAAA